TTTGGAAAATAAAGATAAAATACAAATCAAAGACATATTTTTATAATCCAAAGAATAAATATTTATAAAAATTCAATATTTTTGTAATCTTAATCTTATATATGGTCCTTTTACTCGAACAAAACAGTATTCTCTTTACTGAGGACCAAATTGCTATTTGTAGTTGTTTTTGCTATAATTTATATAAAATTTAACATATCAATCTATTTCATAATACGAATAAAGATAACAATATAAGAATCTCTTTTTTATTGAAAGCATGTGATTAGAATTATATTATACAATAGATTTCTGCGTCACATGATATGATTAATTAAAGAGTTAAGGGACTATTTCCATTAGATTTGGGTTCATAAATTTCTTTTTTTTATGAAATTCCGAAGTCATAGATAATATTTGCCATCTGGATGGCGAGAATTTATATACTACTTAATCTTCATTTTAAAAAATATATAACTATATCCCCATATTTCAAACATCGAAAATCAAGCTGTTGTTTTCAATTAGAAACATGTAACTTGAAATATAATTACAATTTTAAGCCAAGGGTTTTTTGAAAGTATATATGAATTACTAAAATCAAATAATTCTTATATCAGAGGGCTTGAAAAAATATCATTTAGACAATATGACATATGTTTATTATAATGCTGGTTATTTTGAGAAAAAATAAAACTGTAAGAATCATTGCAGGTTCTTTTTGCAGAAGTTTTATCTATCTTTGGCTGAATTTTTGACGTTAATGATCTTATGGAGGACTTTATGCAATTGCTGAAGCATAATACGGCATGGCATAAATAGAATTTTTTTTGCTGTATATGCAAGGTTTAATAGGCCTATAAATCAATGTTATATCGCTGATCCTATCAGACTTGGTGGCCGGATGGTTTTTCATATTAAAGAAAGCCTTTTTTTGTCACAAGTAAATATACAAAAGAGGCCAAATATCATAAATTCAAATATGATTATTCGGATTAGCTGGTAAGAGCACGTCTTCGGTCAAATTTTATCTTGAATTGTTTCTGATTTTTTAGCAAATAAATACACCGCTTCCAATCACTTAGCGTGTGTGCAGATATGGAAAAACAATTCTTAGTAACCAATTGGCATGTATAACAAAATTCACCGAAGAGTTAATATTTTGTCACTAGACAGTAATTAAGACTAAATTTTGTTTGTCCTGTAACTGAAGTTCATCGAATCACGCAGACCACCAAAAAAAGGCTATTATTAGTCTATAAAAGACATTTACATGATAAATTACCAGGTTTCTAAATGAAATATTATGAAAGACGGCGCTAACAGTGAAATGTGACAAGTCTTGTGTGTTTTCTGCAATTTAAACATATATTAGCGGCATATATATATTTCTTATATTTTAATACATTTTTATTGAGGGGCAGATAATACCTATGAATACTAGTTGGCAAATACTACCCCCTGATTCAAAAATTTTCCCTCAATTGAACAATGGTAATTTTTTCCCCCTTTAAAAGTAATACAAAAATAGCAAATTTTTTTAAGCAATCTAAAGTTGCCCTTATGCTACAGACTATAAACCAACATAAAAAATATATAATAAAATCAAATTTAGAAAATTTATTCAAGTATCTAATTAAATTGAATTTTTGCAAAGAAAAATGAAATGTTAATTTTGTTTGAAAAATATGGAGTTAATTCAATATACCAGGTCCAATGATAAATTTACTTGGCGTTATAGAAGTAAACAATGTCGTAATTATTAAATTTTTATTACTTGCAAATTTTAATTTTAATCAATCACATGAAAGGACTACATGAGGATTATTATAAAATATTGTTGCCCACAACAATTATTCAATATTGCAAGATTGCTTATTACATCCGAAAATCTATAAGAAAAATAATGGAAACAATAATTAAATGATGCCATAATAGTTTTAGAAGATGAAAGGTTTAGAGGATCAGGCTTTATAGTTTAAATATACGAGACTATGTTGAACAATAAATGCGAAAGCCACAAAGGAATGTCTTTTACAAATGAAAAAGACACTTTGTGCATAGTCAAACCAGGAACTGACATTACTAGAAACCATGCTACAGTATTTTAAATAAGAAATCTGAATATTTAATACCTATTATTTGCTCT